ACACACACACATACACACACATACATACATACACACATACATACACACATACACACAGGCTCAAGCTGTGAGTGGTTCAAGCAGGCAGCCCCTCACAAAGACCTGCTTGTGCGGTTCTCCTCACGCACCACGTGTGCCCTGCGAACCACCTCACGGACACCGCCTTTGAGGATCCCAAGCGCAAGCGTCCTTCTCCCGTGATCTCACGACATCCTCAAGAACGCCCTTGAGGACCTCTTTGGCACCCGGCAGTGCTCGCTTGACTTTGTCTTGGTGCCCCACCAGGTGATTGGCCTACAACCTTGTGGTTACCTCAGGCCTGATCGTGATCGGAGCCACCCAGGTTGCCCTCTAGTTTGACTACCTGGACGCCACATCATCCGACCTGATCCAGGAGTATGACGCCACAGTGGGGACGGGCGTACATGACCTGCTCGAAACCGGACTGCTACAACTGGATCTGGACAGACAAGGTCAGAGCTGGCACAAAATGCAGAAGATGCGGCACCTGGTGGCCCGACATGACACCACGAAATGGGAAAGGCAAAGGCTATGGACGACCAGCCAACAAGCACACACCTCAGTCGTCGTGGCTGGACACCCCGCCAGGCCTCACCAAAATCAGGCCATTGAAAAGGACAAAGATGCAACAAGAAGCGACAGAACTCCTCAATAGCAGTTGGGCCAGTTTGCCGGAGGACACCCAGCACAAGCTTCAAGCACTCGGCATAGGTCCCACAAAACCAGAGGAACCAGAGCTCACTGATCTTTTGAAGACGCATATGGATGCCCTGCCGCCACAGGTCCAACAAATCGTGACCAAGCTCACGGCACCCGAACCATGCTCTGAGCGTGACATTGCCACCAAGCTCAAAAGCCAGGTCACAGACCTCAAGGCCATGTCCATACGAAAGAACCAGCTGCAGGAGAAGATTGATGGCGTCAAGGCCCAATATGCCTCCCTCCTAACTGACATGCAGGAGCTCCAAGGCAAATTGGCTGACGGGCAGAAAGCACTCCACAAGCTTTCCCAGGACTATATGACCGCCATCAACAAAACACCAGCGCCAGCAGAATTGCCTAACGGCAATGGCGAGCCCGAGCAGATCCCAATGGCCGTAGAGTCCTTTGTACACAGTTTGGGAATCTCCCTCACCGAGGAGCAGAAAAATCAGCTCCACGGGCTCCTCAAGCGGCCCAATCAGGACCCGGATGACCCGACCAAGAGGAGGAAAACTGACGCTGCACCCACACCGCCTCCTGGACATGGTGGGTAACAGGGACAGGGAGGTTCCACCTATGGGATGGACTTTTCCGCTGCCGGAAGATGACACATGGTCATGCGAAGGGACGGAAGAGCACAGCTTGGGACATCTTGTGGAACAAGAAAATTTTGTTGACGAGGCCATGGAACCACCACCTCACCATCAGTGGATCCACCTCACCAAAGAAGACACAGAAACATACCGGAACACTTGTGAAGGGGAGATTTCACAACGAGATACCGGGTTTTCGGACGACCTGAGCTCACGAGACACCATATGGGATTGCCGTGCTGCCTCAGGCTCAACAGCTTTTACCATTTCAAGTGCTTCACGTGTTGGGGAAAACACATGCAGCATCCCTTTGGAGCTCTCTCCACATACCTCAATTCAAGGGACCATAGTTGCAGGGGTGGAGCAACTCGACACTTTCTCATCGGATCCTCCCAACGAGAGTCCAATTTTGACAACTTCCTCTTTACCTGCACCGGCGACACCACATGGGCCTTGGCTGACGCTCACAGGAGGTGCCTCAAGCACTCCAGCCACCTCACCTGACACCGAAGCAAGGGCATCCTTGATGAGCGGTCATTACTATACTATGCCTCGACCACGGACCTCCTCCTCCAGAATTTGAGCATGGTGGTCGGAAATCCCAGTGCCCGGTGCTACGCTAATGCACCCTGGCGTGCCTTCTGCTGGATGTGTGCCTATCTGGCGGAATTCAACCGCGACCCATGGGGAGTGATCAAGGATGCTGTCCAAACTTCCTTGGAGCTCACCGAACCAGTTGACATCCAGCAACTGCCAGGCCTACACCAGCTGTGGGAGAAGCATAACCTGAACATCGAAGGAGACGCAGCCCATTTTGTGCATTCCTTGTGGGTCCACTCCCAAACCCGCGTTCTCCAATACCGCCACACTGAGATCAAAGAGGGTGGCTACATCACAGAGCACATCCAAGTCCCGTTGATTGTGGACTACCCTGATGAATTTCTCGATGAAATCACCTGGCAAGAACTCATGAACTGCTGGGCCAACCAAGGCTATGGGCAGTACCTCGGAGACGACAAAATGGTCCACATCAGTCACATAAACCGGGCTGTCACCATCGACGGCACGGTGACAAAACACAAACGAGCCCTCAACCCCCACGGACCATACACCGTCCCCCGCTCCCTTGACGGTTTCTCCAGAGCCAGTGCTGAGTACATTCCAATGGCGTACATCTGCCACAGAGGACCCACCCATGAGACCGGACACTACTACGCCATCCTCGTGTACAAGGACCTCATGTGGATTGCAGATGATGGTGCCAATCCAAAGGTGCTTCCCTTTTTGACACCACAAATTGCCGGCCAGATCGTGCAAGTTTGGGGCATTCAGACCACAGCACTGGTTCAACCACGACAGATCGCCCGGGCACTGCCACCGCCCGAAACCCCAGACTACGATCCACCACTTCACGGCACACCACCCAAGAAGGCACGGCACACTCAAGAGCACATGCGCCTCCATGTCGCCAACATCACTGCCTTTGGGAAAAGCACACTCGACTGGTACTGGACCCGAGACAATGAAATTTATATCCTGGTTGAGACCCATCTGGATCGGCAGAAGCATCAATCGATGTGCCAGTACTTCGAGGTCAGAGGCAGACATGCTTTCGGGTATCCAGCACACAGCAACACCACCAATGAAGGCACACATGGGGGCATCATTGTCATCCACGACACGGCCCATGGACTTACTCAACTTGAAGCTTTTGAGGTCGAAGGATGTGGATACCAAGCTTTCCTCTGGGAAGCCAAAGCCAGATCCATCCTGGTCGTTGCCGTCTACCTCAAAACCAATGAGTCCATTCAAGGCACGACGAATGCCCAAATCCTGGCCCGCATCCTAGCGCTCCTGGATGCCTTCACCCGGCAGTTCATCTTGGTTGGCGACTGGAACAACCACCCGGAGCAATTCCAAGGAACAGTCCTTGATTCCAAATTCCACTGGCAAATCCTCGCCCCAGATGCCACCCTGCTCAATGGCAATACTGTTGACTATGCCATTGTTCAACAAACCTTGGCAGCTTGCACCTCCATGACCACAGAATGGGCTGTCCCTTGGCGACCCCACTGCCTCCTCACCTACGCCCTTGAACTTGGGGACGACTTCCGGCTTTACAACCAAATCCGGAGTTTCCCTCCACTACCCAATGTGCCCGACATCGGCTTCCGCGCCTGGAGCACCTATGTGTCTCAAGTCGAACAGCTTCAGTTGTACGACAGCAGCCCAAACTCAGGAGCCCAAACTCTTGCAGATTGGACATCCATCACCGAACAATACCTACTACAACAGCACCCTGGGCTCCACTGGGACGTGGTTCTAACCTGACCACTCAGCACCTACCCCTGGTACCGGCCAAAGCAGGCGGCCTTTGGAAAAAAGGCAAGGCTGCCTTCTGGGAGCAGATCCAGGCCAGACTAAACTTGATCCAAAACCAGCCCGCCAAAGCCACTGGCGCCATCCACGGGCTCAACAAAGCTCTCCAGCGAGTCCAGCACCACTGGTTAGGAGATCAGACTTGGGGCCAGTTTCTCGACACCCATCACCATTGGGTGCAGTTCAGGGACGACCGCACCTTTGAACTCCTGCAACAGACGGTGCAACATCAACTTGAAGCAGCACAACAACAAAGCAGAGATGAGACCAGTCTGCAATATGCCGAATGGATCAAACAAGGTGAAGCCAAAGGACTCAAGGGGCTCTTCCGATCCCTGAAAGCCAGTGAAATGTCGTGGCAGAGACCCTACCGATCCATCCCGATGGCAGACCGCATGCGACACCGCATGAACGACTGGCACCAGCTATGGAAGCCTACGAGCGACAACCAGCCCATGACCCGCCTGCCACTCCAAGACCAGGCCAAACGACAAGCCGCCGAGCTCCCGGCCCTCACCTTTGAACACCTCAAGAAGACCCTAAAGCACCTCCCGGACAAAGCCTGTGGACCTGACGCCATCACTACCCAGCTGCTCAGGACTGCTCCGAAACAGGCCATCCAACCACTCCTTGGAATCCTTCAAACCATGGAGGCCAAGGCAGAGCTCC